AATTTGAAAGTTTTCTAATGCAAGTTCCTCTACCTTGCCTCTGCCTAATCTAAAGTGATTAAGTTTCTAAAGGTAAGGAAGTGATCAAAGAATGAAAAGAATATCAGTTCAGTAATACTTAATATTAGTAATAATTAGTTTTTTGGCTGAGACACAATATAGACATTCAAAGTAGTACTCTATCTAAATTAGCAATCAAAAAAAGGTCCAATTAATCAGACCAACATCCTTCCATAACCTTAAGGATATGCCAGGTACAGAACTGAACAGCTGTGCCTTAATGCTGTAGGCTGTTGCCACACACAGAAGTTGCATTTGGGGGTAGGAGTGGACAGGGTTAAAGCATTCAAAACAATTATGTGAAGTTACACTGAAAATTGACAGTTGCAGTAAAACTAAAGGATATTGTTTGTATGTCTGAAGCTCTTAGTTAACCTATTGCATAGGCAGAAACAGGAGTTTAACTGCTATAACCAGTCTTCAGGCAGAATGGAAGCAAATTATAAACATGTCTATCAAAAATAACTGACTTACTAAAACTCTCCCCCAAACCTTCTCCCAGTACTGAAAGGGCAAACAGAAAATCACATAAAGTCAACAACAGGCTGCGTTAGAGAGTTAGAAACAGAAATTAATGAACAGAACATGCTTAAGACTGGAGGTCTTTCCTCGAGACTCCCCCAAATTCACAGATCAAGTCAGTAAGTTGTGAAGAACATCTGTCTGACCATTTGTGCAACCTCAGTGGAAATAATTAAGAGAATCCCAGCAAAAGAGATGTGTTTTTCAAATCAGAGTAAAAACAACTCTAAATGATATTTGGACACCGTGGGCTTGAGGACAATGCGGACCTGAGGGCATCACACAAACAAATAAAAATGTCACTTATTTTCGTACCAAAAATATGGTGCTGGATTGTAGCAAGATAAAGAGAACCTTTGTTTTGTTAAAACAGAACTGCCCCATTCTGCCAGTACATACTGAGAAAGAAAAGTCTCATAAAGTCATTATGAGAAACCTACCACTCAAAGAAAGATTGGTATGCACCCAGTCTGTAGATCAACAATGACAGTCAAGTTTTTTAATTTTAATCATCAAAATCCTGGATTTGCTTTTCATGATATAAATTGTTTTGGAATTACAGAGCCATCATCATTGCAGAGTCATCAGGCATAGAGAGACGTTACACATAAAATGCAAAAATATTTTTTGGAAACAAGGCCTAACAAGGCCCAGTAGACCAATCTCAATAATTCTCAGTCCTGGCTGTCTAGGAGGCATCTGAACAAGCAATCAGCATAGTTGCATATGTTTCATTAGTCATAATTACAGGAAAGACATACCCAATGCATGATGCAAAAACTGCCTCTAAAAAACATTTCCTGAAAAGAGCTGCAATGATTAGTTGAAGATCCATTTGTAGCTGTAGTCCGACTATCACTGATTTCTAGCCCTAAAAGTGCATATCAAAAAATACTTGCTGAGATGAGGCTCTGCACACCTAAATGAAGAAATAAAAAGTGCTGTAAATATGTCCTTTACCACTTCTCTGGGGCTACTGAATTTGCTTTAAAACAGGGTCTGATTCCATAACCACTTCAGAGGGATCAAATCCCCACATGCAGCCAAAAATCCCAGTCACTCAGAGAGCTCTATCAGAATATCTGTGAAAGGGGCATGGATATGATTAATGTTGTAAAACAGTAGCTGCTTTCACAGCAGGGAACACAAGCTTAGAAAACAGATGTTACATCTCCACTCCAAATCTCAGAACATGTTTGCCAAGGATCAGGGTAGCCAAAGAGCCCAAACCTCCATAAAAAGAGAGTTATCATCACTGTCATCCAAGTCGGCATTGTATTTCTTCACAAACTGTCTGTCAGCAGAGCCCTCTAAAGAATCAAATCTCCAGCAAGGTAGCCATTCAGTGTGCAAGAAGCACTAGCATTTCTGTGATCTTCCCATGCACTGAACACCTATAGCTCCTGCACTGGCACCCCTGGGTGCTGAGGGCATTCTGCATGTCATAGTATCAGGACTAAGAACAGACAATTGCCCAAAGCCTAAATTAGCCTAACAGATATCAATGCAGCACCAAGAATTTCTTGGTCATTCACTATGTAAATTATTAATTCTCCCCAATTGAAAAACATAGGCTAAGGTTTGTTGGGTTTTTTTAATAGATTCCTAAAATTAGGCTTTTCAGTCTGGGGTTAGCACCCAAGAAGTGTCCAGTTGACTTGAGTGGGAATAAATGGATTCACAGCAGTTAGAGCTTAGGAATTTAACTGTAGGGACACGTGTCTTTAAAGTCTTGGCTAGAGGCTCAAAACACCCCCATAAGCTACATCCATGCCATGCAGAAGTATTTCAGGGACAGGCAAAATGACTGATCCCTAAAGAGTAAGCATATTAAAAGTCAAGGAGCAGATAAAAGAGAAATTACATTCCCCCCCCCCAAAGAGCACGGCATCCAGTGAACTCTGATGACATATCTTTCTGGGGGGAAAAGGCGAGGAAGGGAAGAAAAAAAATACCAGCCATTAGGGTCCATCACATTTTTTCCTAAGGGAAACACCAGTGTTTGTTTAAAACAAAATGTACATAAAAACTGTTCAGAAAATGCTTGGGATGCTTCACTCCTATCCCCACCCCACCCCAACACACACCCCCCTCTTATCTACACTATTTTACACACTGCCAGTTGTCCACATAGCCTTGTAGTGCAAACAAGCTCTTTAGCTGACTAATTACAGAGTGTGACATGGTGGCTCACACTAACCATAGCCAGTCTGACATGAAATACACCTCAGATTATGTCACCCTCATTG